TAGGGCAAAAGTGGGCAGCTTGCCAAAAAGCTCGTCCTGCATTTTTTCAGGGTAGGTTTACGCGACAGTAGCAAACCTAACCCAAGTAGCTGCAGCACGCCACAACAAACGGTTGACCTATTGTTGCAAAGATGAGCCTTGCGTTTCCCCCGCCAATGTGAGACGTATGGACTAATTAAGCGATTTTGAGTAACTGTGGCCCTTTGCCCGGGGTGCGATGTGCCAAGGTCAACAAGTGTTTGCAGACGCGTACAAGGCGTGGAATATGGAATGTGGGCGCTACGGACGCGTGACGTGCAAAGAGCGCCCTTCCTGACGACGAATAAATTCTCGCCGGTGATGGCTGAAGGCGTTCCACCGGAAACTCTTCGCCACTCTCTTCATTGTCCCGTTCTTCACTCGACATAGTGCAACAGTCCGACCGACTGTGGCCGTGCCGGTCCTTTGCGGCAGCCGGTGACTAGATGCGTGTCGAACTTCATCCTGTATTCAATGTACATATCATTCTGGAGGATCTACGCAATGTCGATCTCGCAACAAGAGGGTATTATCAGGTCAGTTCTCCGATATTACTCATTTAATCCTTTTTTATGAATGATTTCTGATCACCTTTTCATTGAAGGGTTCTAGATTCATTTAGTTTTGATGTCATCTTTTTTTTTACTTCGAACCTATGCATACTTTCACAAACCTACATGTGTTCTAAAGGCCCTTTTTAGGGCGATTCTGTTCGGAAGGACAAACGAAATTTGAAGCAGTTGTCCACCTCCAACCCGCCCACCCACCTTACCCGAGGTAAGCAAACCAGCCCTTTTGGCGTTTCTGCTGGGGCCGTATGCTGAATGTTGGGGAGGGGATGGGGTCCCCGAGGTCGACGGACTACTTGAACTCGGTCGGTACGGTAGGAGAGTGATGACGAAGTGGTGCAGCTAGGTCCAGCAGCTCCGCCAAAGGGCTGGTTTGCTTACCCCAGGACTAAGCCTTGGAGAGAGGACGGACCCGTCCTCTCTTTAAGGCTTAGTTCCTGAGGTAAGCATCAAATTGAGGCGGTTTAAGGACCGAGTTGAAGTAGTCCGTCGACCGTCGGGGACCCCATCCCCTCCCCAACATTCAGCATACGGCCCCAGCAGAAAGCGCCAAAGGGCTGGTTTGCTTACTCCACCTCACCCACCCTCTTCGCGGTCGACGGAGTACTTGAACTTTCTTCGATGGTCCTTCCACAACTCGGCTCCAAATCCAAGGAGGGAGGTTTGGAGATGGGGCGATGGTAAGAGATGCTGTTGTTGTCTTCAAGAGTTTAATTTCTCCTGCCCCAACCCAGGTTTCTTACATCCTTATTTGTAAAGTAAGGTATGGAAGCGGAAACACAGAACGCTAGTTTATGCAGTGGTTATACTCAGCATTTTGTTTCATTGCGAAGTGCGTTTGAAATACCATCGTGATCTTGAATATCGAGCAGAAGGCAAGGCGTATTTTAAAAAGTAATATATAAGCACCAGTATGAACAAATCTTTTCCGCAAGCTTCTTGTGGTTATTAAGAAGCTTTAGCAATTTTTTGATGCGCATTCGTGGTTATGTTATTTTGATTGCGGTCGTCGTTTACAATATCTAATTTTTGGGTTTTATAGTCTTAGAGGTATTGATTTATGGAGTAGGCATTAAGTATCTACTCTACTCGAATCGCAAGAAGGTTGCAAAGTATGACCGCGGTTCGCTCTAAAAGCTCCCTAGTAAATTCACAAATTTCTGCTGTTGGAGGAGTACGAGTGATACGTCGGCGGTTGGAACGTCACCAGCAAATTCGCTCCTTTTTTTGCTGGCGCTTCGTTCGTACCTCTTGAATTGCTAGCGAAACGCCTAGTCGCTGGTGAATCCGTGGATTCGCGTGGTCTGACACCGGCCTTAGGGTGGTGGTGACGGCTCATGATGACGCCAACTTTTGATTACCTTCAGCTACGCTCATTGCAGTTTCCGTTTATTGGAAGGAATGAAAATTTCAGCATTTTTTTTCAATCGAGCATTTCGATTTTTCAAATGTCTGGGACCTTACTCAGTCTCAGTTCTAGTGTGCACAATTCCTGAGTGGTACTTTTAGGTTCGTCTCATCCCGAAACCTTCTCAGTTATTTTCTGCTGTAGATATTCAGTATGTGGAATGCAACAATGGCACTCTTGGTTCTGGTGTATTAACACCTTCTGTCGCTGATGGTGTTGGAATATCACGTTCAGTGGAACTTACTTATATTGATGAAACCTTACTGATTGGTGAGTGCCAAGTTTCCTTGAGGCACGCTTGTGCCATCATTGACCACAATACGCTCAAGTTTTAATGGTTCACTTTCACGAAGTTGAAACGCGCTTTGTCAAAATGATGTCCTATGAAAGTGTTGATAACCGCATCATGTTGGAAATTGTGGCATTTCGATTTAATATCGAATAAAAAGCATTGGAAGGTACAAGTCGATGAGGTGATGAATCCGATATATCAAACTATAGTTGGTCTGCCTGTTTCGGGGTGTGGGTCGTATCTGAGTGCAACTTTTTTCGTTTTCGGCAGCGCGATGCTTTTTCGCTCCAGGAAGCGAGTCTACCTCTTATCCTTGGTGGACCTGGGGCCGTATCCGATATTCCCCTAGGTTGACGCGTCCTCCGCAGCTGGGGCAGTATTCAATCCTTCCCCCAAGGGAATGCGTCCCCTCCTCTGATTCAATCTTCCCCCAGCTTTGGGGAAGACAAGAAAAGATTGCGTTATAGGACCACCATAATTCTGTCTTTCTATCTGCCGTATCTGCCAAACAGTTAGAGCAGCGCGACTACCCTTCAATGATGAAGCACTTTTCCGACTACCCTCCACTGTTGAAGCACTTCCCTGAGGAGTCGCTCCGCTCTAACTGTCTGGCAGCTACAACATTACGCGTCCAATGGCGGGTCCGACGCAGCCCTTTCTCTCCTAAGCCTAGGAGAGAATCAGCGGCGGGGACGCGCCTCCTTGGAGGAGGGTTTTGCGAGCTACTCGAACTTTCTTCTATGGTTCTGCCACGAATACTACGGACGGCTAGAGAACGGCGCCTCCATCGGCTCCAAATGCAAGGAGGAAGGTGAGAGCCTTAGCGACTAAGCCTTTGTAAGAGGGAGGGACTCCGAGGTGGGTGAGCCAAGTACTGGCAAAAGTTTGAATGTGTGAGATCACAGTGGTGATGAGCCGCTGATAAGGCGAGAGAGCGCAAACGAAAGCGTCGAGTGATGCAGCTTCAAGGACCGAGCTCAAAGAGTCCGTCCACTGGAGAAGGGTAGGAGACGGCCATGGGCTTCTCGTAGTGGAAACAGCTCGTGCCGCAAAAGGTAAAGGTCTCTGAATTAGCCGCCCTTGAGCACTTTTTTTCCTTTGCTTTCTTTTTTTGTTGACAGTCACGCAATGCCTGAGATTTCAAGATCGCTCCGCTGTACAGGGTGGTCCAAAATTATGAGGACCAAGACATTGTGTCGTTAAAAACGCATAGTAGCTTGATGGAACAAACCAACTTCTGGGAAGTATTTGTAACTCTTACCTCAAAGTAATTCCAGAATAGAATTGAGATCTGCCACTTCCCCGTTAACACGAGCCTTCGGATGAGGGGGATGGCGCGTGCGGTGGCACGCAACTAAGGCGTGTCCAAATGTTTCCAGGCCTTCTGCTCTGCCTTCTTCAGGGAATCAAACTTTTGTGTTGCATTTATTTGCGCTTGCATCCAGGGTGTGAAATACAGAAATCTAGAGCTATTAGGTGGAGGTTCCATTGTAACAATTCTTCGAAAGCAACGAACTCGAAAAATCGCTTTTTAGAGAATTTTTGCTTTATTCTTGGGTGCTCGGTCCTGTAAGAAGTCCCAAGTAGACTACTCGTGTGGCTTTCTATCCACTACAGATGTGGAGTCTTTAGAGTGTCTGGCTGGGTTTTCACATCAATTTTTTCATTTTGGGTGTACGAAAGTCGACAAGGGGAGACCTAGTTTCTGCATCTGATAATTATCCTGGTGGTAACTGTAACTTTCGAGTCCCCGAATTTTCCATCTGTGGTGGTTCCAAACTTATTGAAGAGTTGAACTGTTGCTCATAAGAGCTTCCCTGATAGGTTAGACTGCTGCTAGATGTAACGTGCCAGAGCCCCTAGTGAGTTCAATTTGAGGACTGACTAAAGTGAAGTAGTTATTTCACTAGTTTTGAGAACTGCATGAAATTTGGTTTCATTAGGAAGAAGACATTGTACCCTTTCACATAGTGCACAGAAAACGAGATGAAAATGGAGCGATACGGAAAAAAGTGGATATGACTGCGCGCGCACGCGGTCCTCATAATTTTGGACCACCCTGTATATGGTAGAATGCAAGTAACATGTGTTGCAGGCGATTCATTTGTCGTTTCTCTACGACTTCATCCACATGCTGATCTGAGCTTAATACACCATCTCCAAGTAGATATTGAGTTGTGGTCAGTTTGCAACTTATCAGGCTCAATTTTTGCTCTACATCAACTTCTTGTTATTTTTGTTATTGTTGTGCTCCTAATATTGATGTTAATCGAAGTTATTCTAATTGACGCTTAAGTGCAGTTATATACGAATAATATGTATTATATTTACTTATTTTTCCAGTACTGAGTATTTTCGATTGCGGTTTTTATGCATGTTATCTCTTTGTTGTGGTTATCTGTATATATTACAACAATAGAAGAAGTCTTGTAGGTCTATGGATCGTCATCGACCCCCGAACCTCTCCTTGTTCGAACTGGAGAGCAAGAGGACGATTGAAATATCTCTTCGTGCTTCCCACCTTACTGCAGCCTCACGGAGCTTGTTTTTCGAGCACTCAGCTTACGCTGCTCTCACAGTCACGGCTTATGCATCACTGGTGTCGGTGTTGCCGCGCAGAAAGCGACAACCGCCGGATCCGGTTTGTTCTTTGTGGTTGGTGTTCCCCTCTATAAATCAACTACGTCGCAATGATTTGATTTAGACGATTGACATCAAGTCAAAGAATGTGCATTTGTCTACTGGAAGTGCATTGTTGCATGCGATGAGTTCCATAGAACGATTCGTGGTGAGAAACCAGAAAGGGATGATGGCGGCTATTCACGCAGGTATATCGGTTTTCACTTCAGTTTTGCTCTCATTATCCAGTGCGGTAAATATAGTTATCGAAATTTATTCTCTTATTCTCTTTCCTCTCTATGGTATCAGACTTTGCGAATCTAGCGAATCGCTGGATACGAACGTTGCACCAGCGACTCGACGCTGGCGCCGCTCATCTCTCACTCTCTCGTGCCCTGGTGATGAGAAGTGGCCAGAGCCAACGTTCAAAGGAACCACTCTCCCGCCACTTTTCAACAGTGTCAAGTCGCTGGTACATCATTCGAGCCGCTGGTGCAACTTTCGTATCCCGCGATTCGTTAGCGAATCGTGGATTCGCATGGTCTGACACCCTAAACGCAGGGTACATCCTAGATTTGTGCGATGTCCCTGCTGAAATGGATTCGTTGAAGAACCGTCTCGACTCAGCAACGAACCCATGGAATGAAGTGGAAAACACCGCTGTTATTCTTAGCGCCCGTCTTTCACTTCTGTACAGTCAATTAATTCGGTTATGTACAGGATCTCCAGGTATATTTTCGACTCATTTTGCGTCAATTCAAGACCCTTTATATCTTTTGTTTGTTCTATGGCATAGTTGGCATTGCTGATGGCTCAACCCTTTGACTATCGGTAAGACAAATATGTAATACCATAATCCGGCAAACATTTCTGGAACAGATTTTCCGTTTGAGGACAGAGTTGCACATGTGGGACGAATCATTATCAGGCTAAAGGTTATTTTTATATACGTAAAACGCATTTCAAACAGGATCTGCTGTTCCGGAAATTCCGGCAAACTGTGATGGTTATATTTTCATTCTCGTTGGTACTCGAAGGGTTAAATATGTGAAATAGGGCACTTTAACTGCTCTGCTGCCAAGTGAAAAGATCATTGAAGAAATGGTCGAAATCTGAAAATACAGGGTGTCCCAAAATTACTTGCGCCTATTTATTGCAATGTCTTTGAACTGTTGGACACAGAATGGTAATTGAATATAAACATAATTATACTAACATCATACACTACAACATGCAACAACCAGATTTCAAAATGTCCTCCACCTGCACGAATTCAGGCCCGGAGTCTCTTCTTGCACCATTCGCACGTTGCACGCAGGTGTTCCTTATCCAATTCTTCCCAGGCTTCCTTTGATGCTGCTTGCAATGGTTGCAGATTCATACGACGAGCTCGACATGCCTTGCTCTTAATCATGGACCAGACTGAGAGTTCCAGTGATTAAGATTAGGGAGCAAGAAGGCCATTCCTCGCGGCGACGAAGTCGGGCAGTTCGCAGCTCGCATCTGCCTCGAACGAGCTTGGCCCCATAGGCTGTAGCACTGTCCTGCTAGCAACACCACGGCTTGTTCCCAAAGTGGGGGTTGGATCAAGGTTTCAATACGTTCACTAATACGCGCGTCCTTGCTGATCTTCACACATGAATCGGCAAAATTCAACGGCATCTCATCATTGGCCGCGACTCACACCCAATTCATTACTGATGCCGAGTTAGCCGTTCTTCAACAATCTTCCCTCGTGAGATGACACTCCCGATACTTCTGACTAGAATGTGATCGCTTTGGCTATTCAACACCGGCTCCACAGCGAATATTTTCTTATCAAAAAAACGATCGAGAGTTGCGTGTCGCCAGTGAAGCGCGCTAGTAACCTTCCAACTTTTCGGCCTCTCTGCTGTTTGTTGCTGAACAGAATGAAGCGGCACTTCTGCATGTGATAGAGTTTGTAGTGCTGCTTCTCCTTAATGATGCGCCCCATCGATGACTTCGATAAATTCAGCGGCCTCGCCATCCTTCTGATGGAGCACCGTGGATTGCTAAGCAAACATTTCGTTGATTCTATCCGTGAACACGCTGACCATTCTTCCTTGTACAGGCTTGTGAATGAGTGTTCTTATTCTCCTGCATCGTTTGTTGGCCACCTTTACTGTGTTCACGGGAACACCAAGAAATTTAACAATGTCCTAAGATGCAGTCTCTTGCTCGCGCACGCGAATGATCGCAGGTCACCTTGGATCACCTCTCGCCATCTCAGAGATACTGGCAGTTTTACCCCAATAACGATGCAGTTCACAAGAGAACCTACCTGCACAACTATTTAGTAGCGCCCGAAATGAAAATAATCGATATACCTTTTCAATGAATTTTTTGAAATTTGGCGCAAGTAGTTTTGGGACATCCTGTAGGGCTCATATCATCATCATTTATGTAGAAGTTGATCTGTGTAGCGAACATGATAAATTTGGCCAGACAATCAGTGTAAATCGCGGTCGAAAACCGCGCAGAGGCCAGTAGTAGTATAACATGAGCAATGGGAATGCAGCTAACGACGCAGATGTTATCGTCGTGCATTCTGAGTTTTGGGAAAACTTTTGGATGATATCGAATCCGCTTTCCTGGTGTTTCAAACTCCAATATTTGAGACTGCTTATGTACAGGCAGGAGGGGTAGGGTGCAAAAAGACCTGTTTGTCTATGGCGCAGATCATCAAACTGCCGTAGCACAGGGTGCCGCTGTCGGTAAAAGTTTCACAGCATACTATTTCTTAGTGTCCACCATGAGCAGAAGCAGGCCCTTTTCCATTGCTTCACCGTCTTCAGAATATTACGTCATCTGCAATCACCGCTCACAGCATCGGGCTTAAGAAGGCCTACTGTTATCGCTTCAGCCTGCGCTTTCGCTTAGCCTTTCAGATGACGTCGTAGTATATTCCGTCAACGACGTCGTTAAACTCGCCATGTGCACTATGTTTTCATAGAGTTTTCTGATATCGTCACTGTAGAAAGCTGTTATGTAGTTTTTTTTTGACAGATTAGAATGTGCCCTACAATTTTTAGTCGTGCTCTTTTTTTAGGGCGGAAGTGGTGTAGTGGCAAGTGGCACGCTTACCACGCGAGCGGTCCGGGGATCAAATCCTGGGTCGTGAGTCGCCCGGGCCAACCAAGCCTTCCATCCCTCCGGGGTCGGTTAATTGGTACCAGACTTGTCTGGGAGGATAAAAACACTGACTTGTACATCGGCTGGCCCCGCAAGTCATTGTATAGGCCACATCGCATTCAAACGCCACTACGAATGTACAAATGGAAGTAGAATGCGTGCCGCATCCCAAAAAGGATTGATCAACGGCAAATGCTTTATCCTTTTATCCTTTTGGTTTAGGTTTAGCAAAGTGTGCCATTCCGTTTTGACTGTGGAGAGGAGTTACTTTTCTGACCTCTGCATATTCTATCAGCTTTTTATTGGTGTCATGGGATATCACCGTTTTACACACTAATTTCATGTTGACTACGAAGCCCTAATTTGAAGGTTCACCAGATATTACGTGATTCGTTTAACGCCTGAAAGCTTTGTTTGGAAAGCATAACTTTCCGGCACAAAAAGAACGTGAACACTGCAATTCAGTTAGCTGTCTTTTGGGAACAGAGCTTCGAGATTTTTTCTTGACATTTATTTATTTACATTAGCTTGACATGGGTTTGCAAAGTCCTCATTTTCTCATCGTGGCCTGTGCAGCAGAATCCAAATACAATATAAACGACCTTGTGGGTGTCTTCAATGCTTCTAGGCACCTGTTCCGGGATGGGCTTTCATTCCCTGCTCTCTTTTTCATTTTGCTGAATTTTTTTTTAGGATGTTTACCGATGTTGCTATTCTTGCTAGATTTTCAGCAATTTCTTCTACGTTATTGCAAGAATACAGGAAGTTCCGCGGAAAGGTGCTCTCCGAACTTTTCTTCTTCGTGGAAACTACACCTTCTAGTCTTTCTGAATGTAGCTATTTAGACAAGGTATGTTGCTATTCAGCTGTTGTTGTTCGTGTACCTGACAAGAGGCTCATCGCGTGGAAAATGGCAGAGACGCAGACAGTTAAGCGGACGAGTCGCCGCGCGTACTGCAGTGATTTCGCATCTAGTACTCAAAACGTACTGTACTCGTACTAATGGACTGGATTGTACTAAAAACGTCCCACATCACCATACAGCAGGCGCTGCGACTTGTCCGCTGACGCGTTTGTTTATCTCCCTGCACGCCGCTCGACAGGGCTACTATCGGGTACCCTTCGTTGCCTTTCCTCGTAAATGTACTTAATCGAGTTTTTTTTTTCAGATGTTTTCACTCGTTTCAAAAAGTAAGTATCTCGAAAAGCTACCTCGATTCCCAATATTCTGCCGTGAATTGGACAACAGTCCAGATAATTGGTAAGGTTCAAGATGTGTAGACATTATTTGCGAAATGATATACAGCTGCTCTAGGTGTCTTATCGTTGAAGAGCGACTTCTAATGGATCATTCAGGAAGCGAATTAAATGACGATAAGGTAAATACATGAAATTTCACATTCAAAAAATTCTTCGCCTTCTTAGGTATCGGCAACAAATGTTGAGGCAGCGGGTGATGGTTTTCGAACTGAATCTCATTCTTTAACACGTGTGACTGATACTCGAATTTCTTGGCTACGACGGAAGAACTCGGATGGGAGGCCACAATCGCCACATCATCGTAAGAACAAGAGTTTCACGTTATAGTAGTATCCTTATATCTTCCTTATAGCTGATCTCAAACATATCCTACCGTTGTTTCCTGAGGACAGTCCAGGATCATCACCGCTGCATGACGATGATTTGAGTTCTACCGTAGATTTTGTTGTCGAACGTGAACGTTTGAAGGCGGCCCTGCTGGAGCAGAGGCTGTTCGATGGATACCTGTACAGGTTTCTTGTTGGAAATAGTATGACTTCTTTCACTTGGCGATATGCATTAGTATTTTGTTTAGCGAGCAAGCTTCTCCTTGGCGCTTTGTGGCACCTTCTATAAGTAAAAAGCAGCCAACGCATCTTGTTGTGTTCGTTCATGGACTGGAAGGTTAATATTTTAATTTTTCTCTTTGGTCCAACTACAATTGCAGTTTCTGTCTTAGCTGGAAAAGTGTACAGGAAAATAGCACTTATTTCCCTCAATCTCATTTTATCTCTTAAATGCGATGTGATCAGCCGTCGCTTCCTTTGCGGGTTGCCTGGCGGAAGTACTTTTCGTTGAAGAGCTTGCTGGAGTATTCTTCCAAATTCCTCTTGAACTTGTTTTCAAGATGGCACCGTCGGCTTTTTTTCAATTAGTACGAACCTGATGTCTGAGTAGCTCGCCACCGAGCTCTGCCCTCTTTTTTGCAGTGGTTGCCTTGGGGAGCTCCTTGTACCTTTTGTTACAGCGAGGTTCCAATGGATTCCCCTTCCTTGCTAGCGCTTGTACGCATCCTTTTCCTGTTTCACAACTCGGGAAGTTTCTCGTTCCAGAATCATGCTATCTTGCTAGTTAAAAACGAAAAAAAAACTTTGTGAACAAAATGACTGAAACCTTCGTTTCGCTCCTTCCTCAGACGAACCTTATTATTTCGTCAATCCCCGGAGCTCATCAGTGAGTTGGGATTGGCAAATAAAGGCGCAGGTATTATTCTGGATCCACCTCGCGTTTCACAAGTTATTCACCTTGCACACTGCACTGAGACATCAGCATTAATCCGGATGTGCTGCGCATTCAATGGTTCTGGAAGACCCGTTTCACGGTATCCATTTGAGGTCATCCTTTCGTCTTTGCTACAACTTCTACCACCTCCGCTTCAATACGCCTGTATCAGAAAGTTCCATAGGGTGCCTGTTGGGGGAGCGAGTTCTTCTCATGCTAGTCCTTCATTTTTCTAAAACAAGTTTCTTACAAGTACACGGTCAATTTCCTTCTTCCCTCCTCCACGACCCTTCACGCACTCGCGTGTTGTACGCTTAGGCTTTTAATTAATGGCTTGATCAGGGTTAGATCCGACAATATTTCAGATGAATATGTCGAATATCTCTCCGTAAACATAATTTAGTCAGACACTTGTGGTAGTCACACATTGCAAACTAATTTTAGGAACCTGCGATGATCTCTCATCCTATAGGAACATTTTTCGCGTTTTAACTGACAGTGTTCCTGGTTTCTACTATTTACTCAGTGCATCAAACCATTGTAAAACGTGGTCAAACTTCGATGAAATGGCGGACAACCTTCTCTCAGAAGTGCAGTCTTACGTGTCACGGTACAGTGAACTGCCCACACGCATCAGGTGAATTTCTTCACCTCTTCCCATTGTTTCCCATCGTGGTTTCGGAATGGGAACTACTGCGTTCTACAAGAAATATGTGCTCTTAATCTACAAATAATTTTTAAGCTTCATTGCTCATTCACTTGGAGGAGTCATCGTGAGAACTGCAGTCACTCGAGAGAATGCATCAGATTGGCTCGTTCCCCGGCTGCACTGTCTTTTGACAATAAATACTCCACATCTCGGTTTGGCTTACGTCGGCAGAGGAGTCAATCTAGGAATACAGCTCATGCAATGGTGGGTACGCAAGTTTATTTTGAACTTATTTCTGGTAAGGGCGGAAGTGGTGTAGTGGCAAGTGGCACGCTTACCACGCGAGCGGTCCGGGGATCAAATCCTGGGTCGTGAGTCGCCCGGGCCAACCAAGCCTTCCATCCCTCCGGGGTCGGTTAATTGGTACCAGAGGATAAAAACACTGACTTGTACATCGGCTGGCCCCCGCAAGTCATTGTATAGGCCACATCGCATTCAAACGCCACTACGAATGTACAAATGGAAGTAGAATGCGTGCCGCATCCCAAAAGGGATTGATCAACGGCAAATGCTTTATCCTTTATCCTTTATCATTTTGTGAGGTTCTTTGATGTGTCCAGTTCTGATCATGGAGTCCTCTGAAACTGTTTTCTTCTTTCGCTGCTTCTCTAGGCTTCTATGTTTTCCATGTGCTTTCCCGTATTGTGTTTCTAATTGCAAACAATTGTAAGCCCTCAGTCATTTTTAATCCCTCTGAGCATACTCATTTGAGGCGTTTTTTTTTTGCTTGTTGGAGGTGAAACATTTGTAAATAGGATCCCCCATAACAGCTATTCCGCTAGTGAAGTTCTTAATTAACATGGCATTTGCAATTATGGCAACTATAGTGCGATTCATTTATAGTTGGTGAAGGCGTCATCAGTACTTAAAAAAATGAGAATGGTTCCCGGCCCTATGCTGAGAAAAACGGAAAATTAGTTGTTCAAAGAGATTCCATGTACTGAGTTCAGCAAAAGGATTAGTGTATAGGTGGAAGAAATCTCGATCCATGGAGCAGTTGTCACTAAAGGACGAAGTTTCGTTTTGCGACTCGTTCCTGTACCGCCTGTCAAAGAAAAGGACTTTTGGTCTCTTCCGGTGCGTGCTACTTATTGGAACACCCGGTATGTTTGAAAGTTTTCTAGTTCTACGGATTGCCTTCGTGTAAAGGCAGCTTATAAGATAACAATAGTAAACACGCTGTTGTTTCAGAGGATATGTTCGTACCTTGCCATTCTGCAATTTTATCTCCATCCAAATCGGCTACGAAGGACCCTTCCGCGTTAGGAACTACCTATAGGTTGGTTTCCAATAGTTTATTCTTCATAACTATGCCCTCATAAAAGCTGATTCCGTGCTTTTCGATCCCATTTGAAACCTCTGCACATTAACTTCTTTGCTGTCCTCACTATTATTAGCAGCATTTGTGTGTCCGTGAGAAGTTGACATTTGAGAGCGGGTTAATGGGAACCACATCACTGAGTGATTCTTAGGTTGCCCCATAATCTACACTTTACATTTGTTGCTGTAAGTTCTAGAGAAATGCTTGAAGGCTTGAAACACGTTTTCCGAAGTAGCTTCCACATTATCCTAGCTGAACAATTATCAGCCCATAGGACGCCTTTCGTGACTGTCCATTGAAATTATTGCATTTGTTTTGGTCATAGAAAAAATTCGAAAAACCGAAAGGGCTGCTACGCGTTCAAAGTACCGCCGGACATCTGTCACAAATGCTGGCGACGGGGATGCTTCCACTTGGTTCTTGGAGTGCCTTCACTAGAAACTCTTTCTGGCCTTTTGACTTATTGCATTCACATCTCACACTTCTCCATCCTATTCTATCGATCGATTTGTCTCTACTCTCCAAAATCGCGCGCTTTAACCCGATTCTTTCATTGCGTCGCCTGATACGTAGCCGCCCAAGGCGGACTTTTCCATGCCCCGCCTTTGGCTCCGCCCGAATTACCTTCGATTGTCCATAGAGTGGATTTTGTGAGTTTGTTTCTCTTCGGAAACCGAATCTTCATGCGTGAAACTTTGTGTGCTGTTTCCAGTGATCACAACTGACACATTCATGTTGGAAAGAATGCAAGAATTTTCCGCGAAAGATTCCTTTAACCTGACGCCATGGCCAGACTAACTTCTCAGAGGCACTGTGTTGAAATGGCAGTACTGAGACATTTCGATAGAGTCGTAACGATATGAAAATATGGTGTTGTATGTCGCATGACCTGAGGCAGAGTTAGCTACAAAACGATCTGACATTGTCATGTTTCTGTTAGCTTTCCATGGGCCAACTGACCATCCAGCATATTTATCAGTAACGGGCGTGGGTGCAATGCTCTAACAAATCCACAAGCGGCAAAAGCCTAGCTCAAACGGTTAGCGAGTTGCGACAGTAGAAGCCCTCCAAATTCGGATTTTTCTGAGTTGTAGGTGGATGGGATTTTGTGCCAGAAACCGTCACCCGTTAGTACCAAGGTATGTAGTAAAAGCAAATGTCTGAAGCTTGGTGAGAACGTCTTCATACTGAAACCAAGGCCAGACAAATGCTTTTCTTTAACGTCGTTCGACCTCACCTTGTGGAAAAATTGAAGAAATTCATAAAAAAATTGAGACTTTCGGCTGATAATTTTTCAGCTGCGCCATATAGCACTAACCTCATGCCTGCAAATGATCGCCTACCTGCAAATGGTCACCTGTCTGCTTTTTACAAGTCTAAAAGGTATTGTGAACCAAGACGAGAAAAAAAAGAGTGGGACGAGATGACACAGCAGATCAAGGAGACAAGGCAACCCACAGATGCAGTCACCCTACCGTGCACACCGTTGCATTCTGAATCAGGGGCGGTCTCAGTCGCACATTTTCGAGAGGCCAAATCTATCTCCTATCTTTGCGGGTAGCGTTATCCGACTCAGGAAAGGAAGTAATCCACTTGATTTTGCCGTCGAGCTTGTCTTCAAAAGAAACATCCGTAGTCCAGTAGTACCCCATCAGATGAAATGGACGTGTGCCTTAATGTGATGCACAAACGTACCTGGCGTTCGCTAACTAATCAATTCAAGCAGATGTTTTATGTCGGAATGAGTGCACAAGGGTGATCAAGATCGATGCATCAGGAGTCAGCGAGTGGCCTCCAATGTGCGATCCCATATCGACCTCAAAACACCTGTTTTGTCGATCCTTCACTATGGCTAGTGTCAGAGTCCGCGATTCGCGCGAATTGCAAAAATCGCAAGTGCCATTTGAACATTTGAAACACTGAATATGAAACAAGTAGAATCATGAACAGTCGTCATTCAACATCACCATCAAGCAGAAATGGATTCGAGTAACAGGCTGATGTCAGAGCCCGCGATCCGCGCGAATCGTGCGACGGATCGAGGACTCTGACACCGGCCTATTACTGCTCCCACGCAAGGAGCTTATTTAGACACAAATGCATGTGCGTTGAGAGCATCGCAGTAGTTCGTGGCCAAACGGCGTCCTATCCGTTCCTGATGAAAAATGATCACCATTTTCAAACAAATATTCGAATAGTGCGAAGTATTGAATCGGCCAGTGGAGCTTATACAGGAAAAATAACCTCGTCTTAGTACTACCAGTGCCAGTGATTGCCTTAATATAAAAAACCAACTTCGTAATCGTAAACTAGCTATTAATAAAACCCCATATTATATCATCAGTAATGGTGAAGTTTTTGACGGATGATTGGTCACTGAGGAAAAATACGAAAAGTTGCTGCGTGCATGCGCAACGGCGGTCGTCAGCGGGTTACTTCGTAAGCTAAAGCTGAATAGCGTGATCGAGCACTATGTGATCTTTCCTCCAAGTTGCTCTTCGTTCCCCCCATCTCTCAAATTGACATTTTGGCGCTCAAGAAGCAACTGTTTCAACTCCAATCCCTCCCATCTCCAGAACTGATATTAAAGAGTTTGACGTAGTCAAGGTCACTTTTGCGTTGGAGGTTTTCTGAAAATGCGGCACAGCACGCGAAGCGCTTACCCGAGTATAAATGCGATGATTGGTTTTTTATTTGTTCTCATCCGGCAAGAAATATTGCGGGATAAAAGGGGCAAGAGCATGTTGTCAAGCTGAGCAGTCATGTCACCTACCGGCAAATCTACTTCCGCATCATGTTTTGTGGAGTTTTAGATCCAGTTCACACACAACATTAGCGGTGCGGACCACGTTATCTCGACAATCAGATGTGGTATATCTAAAAAACCAGCGATATTCGGCCGTCAAAAGGAAAGTGTTCCCTTCGACTGTACGAGGCTGTTCTTCACAGCCGACCCATGAACAGACATTTCGGAATTTGAATGTTGAAACTATAACCAATGTCTTCATTACCGACACGAAATTATTGAAGGGTTAACGATCGATGAAAGAGAGTGTCGCAAGGGGTGCGCAAGGGCACCGGCAATTGGTTTGAAAAAGGAGGCAAAAATTCAACTCAATTGCCAAGAGAAAACCTAGGCTTAAAAACCATGCCCTGCAAAAATTGCAAAAATGGTTCTAGTACCAGCGTCAGGCCCAGGTTGACAGGCCGGCTGATGAACACCCAGTCACAATAACCGTGGTCATGCAGCTTCATGTGATTACAAAAGCCTAAAAGCTCGATACTTATTTTGTTCTCGTAACACTGAATATGACATACTAGTTACATGATTTCAGAGACATGCTCTCGAATGTTCACGATGACATCGTGTCAAGCGAACGCACTGTTACAGCAGTTCGATACTCTACGTGGCACACTACGTCGTCACCCAAATCCAGCCGAGTTACCGGTAGAGCCAGTAAGTTCCTCGTATAGCACTTGATCACACATTACAATAGTCTAGAGTTTGCTTACTTCATCAGTACTCTTTGAGCAACATAACATATGCTTTGTACAGGAAATGAGTAGAAATACCGAAAGAATTTCCGCTCTACCTGGCAGAAGATCCTTACGCTGACTGCAGCGTTAGGTATTCCTCTGTAGTTTTTTATCACGCTACAATAGAAATACCAATCCAAAGTCACATGACTACCATGAACGCGCCGATTAGATTGACCGATAACAGAACACGGCCTGCTTATTGATTTTATGTATGCGTAGATAACGTATTACCTTTTCAGCACATATCGCCGCTGTTGAAGATGACGTGTTTATCGAGAAACTCTTCACGATCTCGGCATTGAAATATTTTATAGAATAAATCTATGCTACTGCAGTGTATTTATTTCCAATATTGTACATGAGAATTATCACAACTAGGAACAAAAATACATGTTGCAGAGGTGGAGATTAGTTGCAGTTTAGAATGACAAGTTTAGTCTATATATGATGTAACAAATCTAGTTGTTTGACAAAAAGAGACAAAAAGACAACTGTCATTTTTAAACATTATAGCTCATTACGAAAAAGTTGTCACTTGAAAATGGTGCAGGAACGGCATCAGGCGGAAGAACGCGGAAACCAACATACCGAAGAGTGCGCGGGAATCCTTCCGACATCGACAGTTCTGGTCTCTTGAACACGGCGAGAACGCGCTCGACACCTGAACAATAGGACCCTGATTCGCGTATTCGTATATAATTTTATTGGAAACTAACCGAGCTCCTCCTCACAATACTCGAGTAACGAGACAAAACGCTCTCTGGATATAATCTTTGGATTCTGATCAACAGGTATGATGAGTGCTAACGACTTCGGGTCCACCATTGCCCAACGCCATTCCTTCGCCACAGCCCCAACCCGATGTGTTACCTGGAAAATTTCATAGTGACAGAACGAACAGAAAGATTCCGGCAATTCACAACGTGCAATCTTCTGAATGTGCATGGAGCACCCAAGCCATCCTATAAGGTCTGCGCTCTCTCGCGGGTCCCTCTCCTCTCCAAGGCTTAGTCCTAGGGCATTCTCTAATCGTCTGTGCTCTAGCCATCGCGGCAGGACCATTGAGGAAAAATCAAGTAGTCCGTAAACCGCCAAAAAGGTGTGCTAAAAAAGTGTACTATCGACTGAAGAAACCAACTCATCTCATCGACGAACGGTTGTTGAGCTGGGTCAACCCGATCAATCAATGCCAACATGGACGCTATAGTTTGGGGCGGGAGGGGGAGGGGGGACACTCCAAAAAAGCTCTAGGACTAAGCCTTAAACAGCAGGGACGAACTCAGGAGAATACGAAAATTGCTTCCGCACACCGGTTTCCTCTCCTCTTTAGGCTTTGCCCAGAAAGTGGGCGTTTCCGTGATCCTGACAATATTTTACGAGCTGCGTCTCCCACACTAGGCCTTACCATGTTCCCAGCGGATTAGTTTAATCGCATAACCGCCGAATTTTGAATACTACACATGTGCTTTTCATCTGGCGGAATTGCCGATTCGCCCTAAGCGCAACCTACGAACGATGCCTAACCGGTTCCAAGACGTCTCTATTTGAAATTTGGCACTCGACAACTGATGTAACACTCAGCATCAAGAAACCAGATCCACAACACTGCGTTGCAAAGAAACATCTATGTGTCGCAGAGCACAAATCAAACCACAACTGCCAACTATTCCGAATTTGTGGTGGAAATACGAAATGCGAAGCTAACTAAGCAAGTAAAAACTCACATCATCTACGCGACTTGTTATACATTGAGGGACGTCAAAAACACCATCCGACCGCGCCGTCGTTGTGCTCAGAGCTGAAAGTTCCAAAACTGATAAACTATTCTCCTGTCGATCTTTCGTGACCACCAAAAGTTTCACTCACATGGTAATTTCGTTAAAACTCAGATTACTTTTAACGATACTGGACGACATTGTAAAGAAGCTGACGAAGAACTCGCGACGATCCACAAACGTGCAATGAATCGCGTCGCTCCGCCGCCCGTCCTTATATGCGCTCACTCTGTCTGCGTCTCCTCACTCACCACACTTACTCGGAAATATCGATCGTGGTCAGCTGAGAGGCGGCACCCGCACGGAATGGCTCTACAGTATCCCATCGCTGGCATTTTGCCAACGATTATTCCACCGCAGGGGCAATGCAATGACAAAGAGTTCATGCTCCAAGCAGTTTGTCACATTCTGCCTTGAAGGCGAGTTTTCGCAATAGAAATAAGTCGAGATCTTAGAAATAGTACTGGTCCGAATTTCTAACTATGAAGTCCTGTTCAGTGCTTTTTTCCTTCAAAATGCTAGGTAATGGCCTTCATTATATGCTCTTCCTCTAGAAAGCAAGGGCTTATTCCCGTGAAATTGGTGGCGTTTTGTTTCCGACCAGTGCCTAGTGTTCGCTTTTGTAGGAGTAAGAAGCAAAATGAGAGCCATTTCTTGTGGTCTCCGTTATTTATCACTGCTCATCTTTTAGTCGTTGTATGCATGACTATCTATAATGTGCAAGTGAGAGGCTGGTTCTCCCTCAAAAGTTACACATTGTAGGTTGACTAAGGTTTTGTCGGTTCAATGGAAGTAATTTTTGGCGTTAATGATAGTACTGCTTGATAAACTCGTCTATTTTTTATCAGTGCATTCTTCATTTGGTAGTAACATTTCACTAGACTTCTGCATTGAATCCAATTGTTTAAACGACCGCGTATTCACTATGAATTTCGAGATTGCCGTTAAACTTTTGTGTGCAACAAGTATGTAAATCGATAACTTATTTTAATGTAGTGACGCTCATCTTATTCAGTTCTCAGATTTCCAGAGTCAACTCCGGCAAGATATTGGCTCTAATCCGGACATGGATTTTACTGATGCATGCGGGTCCTTTCGCAGTGATACTGAGGTAATATTTAAGTTATTTCTCCTTCCTTAAGCAAATAAGATGATAATACCAGTACTGCTTGCTAGTTCCAACACTTTCAACCCCGCTTACGTCAACACCTGTTGACAAATTCCAAATAATGTTCTGGTCATATTTTTCGATTTGGTATGGAGTTCGAGTGTGGAATAGATGCGTATCGACTCTGAGAGTCTGCGATCGATATTTATCTGCTGCACGAAAGAAAGCAAAATCACAAGATAGCAAAGGATGACCCAAGGAAACTTAACTATCCTTAGATTCCATCCATGTTCGACCTTCTTTCGATCTTGGAGTGCTAGATATCTATCTGAGCTCTGCTGGATTGGGTAACTTGACGCGGTTACTGTTTCGCCCTTATGACCTTAGTAGATCGTGTGTTTTTGTCGCAGGGTCTCAAGACCGGTTACCAAGTTGTTGGGTTATGCCTGAATCTAAGTTACTGATTACGGAAATTGCAAAAAATGGCATCCGTAATATTCGCCCTAGAAGAACGAATAAAAAAAACCTTGCTAAACTAGGAATGGATGGCACTATTCTAATTGCTTACGGTCACGCGGCTATGATTTGTTCATGAAGCCAATGGTTATCGCAACTCCGCTGGGATCGTAAGATTCATTCGAAGGGATAGGTGCTTACAAAAAGCAGTATACTTACCAAGAAAAACAATATTTATTTTTTAGGAACTGATACGGGATTGTCTCGATCATTGTAGCCTTGATGATGCTCTTTTTCTAGCTGAACTAAATTATTTAAGAGGTATGTTGTTTCTACATTGTCATGTAGTTTCCTTCATCTGCCTTTCATTTCTTATTGCACTGGTAGTCTTCTAAGTATGTCATCGTTTACTGTTAATATAGAAACCTCGCACACAATTTACTCTGCGGTTCCACTTTAACTATCTATATTCTGAAGTGTGTCACCAATGTCGAGATTGGAAGTAAATTTTTTAGGTCGTTTAACCCTTTGACGACCGCCGTTATGAATGCGTCACTTCACTTCTTTCTAAATTTTTTCATCAATAATCATTAACTCTCCAACAATTTCACTATTAGTAATTAGCGCATTATTCCGCGAATTCGATAATGTATTTGTGTAGTTTTGAAACAAAAAATGCCAAAATAAACCCCTAAAAACGTGTCGCCACCGAGCGAAAGTGTGGCCCACCGGCGGGCCACACGGTCGTCAAAGGGTTAAACTGGTTTCAGAGTCCGCGATCCGTGGCGCGATTCGCGAAAATCGCAAGTGCCCCAGCAATACTGCGAGGTGCTCTCCAATACCGCCCCCATTTTTGCCTGATGGTGATGGTTGAATGACGACTGTTTATGATTCTACTTGTTTCATATTCAGTGTTTCAAATGTTCAAATGATGCACTGCGATTTTTGCAATTCGCGCGACGGATCACGGGCTCTGAAATTAGCCTTAAAGTGAAAAGATTCCGCTATTCGTCGCGATCGCTGAAGTTGCTGGAATCCCGGAAATGGTTGTGATAGCAAATCAGTGCCTCACAATCGAGTATAAGCTGGCTCTCTGAGGGCCTATCCCCAACTCTGACAACCCCTAACCATAATTCTCACCCTAACCCTACCCCAACCACGACCTGATCCTACCTCCACCATTCCCCAATCGCATCTTTCACCCTGACCTCAAACCAGCCTAGCGTGTCTGTCTTTTTCTTTGGCCGTATGGTATGCTTCCCGAAGGGTTGGGGACGAAAATCCCTTTAAATTTTCTCTGTCTTCCCAACTGGGATTGTCCTGATAAAGGGCCTACATTTAATATATGTGTGTAGCTTAAAGTAAACATGCATTGAAAATAAAGAAACAGTATCGTTCAAAACAAAAAATTTAAAGGGACTTTCCCCCCCGCAACCATTTGGGGAAGCATACCTTACGGCCTCTTGCCTTTGCCATGATTTGTATAAGGAGGGCTACCTCAAAGCGAAGCGAGCTTTGCAAGTAGAGTTGCTCTGTGTGTTTCAGAATTGTTGATTGTTCATTTTATATGTGCTATGGCTTCCTTTCAACAGCGATAGGTGCATAGTTTACTGCAATCTACCGACAACTGGTGAAAGAAGTATTTTTTGCCAGCTTGCAATGCTACTTCCACTGGAGCAAAGTTCCACTCTACATTTAAAATCGCTAAAATGATCATCTGTAACCGGTAATCGCTTCGCAGAAAAATTGAAATTTGATATCGACGTCGCGTGAGGATGTATGAAGTGCAGTGTATTATCACAAGAGACAAGTCCTATAACGATACTTGCCGTAAAAAATCTGCCACGTCGCTCGCGAAGGTCACGCAGTCTTACTCACTTATGCAGTACTTTCACGGCTATGCGCCCATCTAGTGCGACCAACAATAAACGAGTGAGTTGCAGTTCTCCTTCTCAGCTCACGTCATTTCAGAAAAGTACACCTCTGATTTGCTCGTAATAAACCTATGACTAAGCCGGATCCTAACCATAGGCTTAAGTAGAAGCCAGTGAATAATCACCAGCTCAAGTCTGAGCTCAAGCCTAGGCTTAACCTTTGGCTTCAATCAGCGTAACTTTGGAGAATAAACCTGTGAGAACTGAACGTCTCTCTCAATAAAGCATTCCTTCCCAGCATTCGCGATAGTCAGTCAGGGTTGATTTACAAGTTGACGAAGACGTGATCTGAAGAATCGTTTAGCTACACTCGCAGCTGTCTTATTTTGCGGCCAAGCGCATCATCCCCTTTGCAAAAAGTCTCCCTCTAGGCCGGAAGCATCCTGCTAGTGAACTCCACCGTTCTACATGTCCATCTGTCACAACATCTTCTTATGATTGACCGGCTTATCCTAGCGAGTTGGTGTGATAAGAAATGCATAGAGCTCAACTATAAGCTTTGCATTCACTCCTTCCAAGATATTAGTGGATCCCTTGATTCTGAATCCTTTTCTAGACCAGCGGCTATTTGTGATTAAAACAATGTGCTAAGAATCTTTTTCCAGCCTTTCTGGAAGGTATGCTGCTGCAGCTAAAGAAAGCGAAAGTGCTGTACGTGGGAACAATTTCTTGTGGTCCTCTATCTGCAAAATTGTTCAATTTGACGACCAGTCCATGGATGATCTATTTCGAGAAATGACAAACAAACTTCTCCCCTCTTCGGCTGAATCCTCTGCTCCAGAAACTAGTAATATGTGAGTTATTCTTTTTTTCCTTTTAAACGTTTACTATGAAGAATCTCTTGACTTTAGTGATTGCTACAAAGGTGAACCTCATCAGTCGGAGTTGCCTCAAAGAAATTCTTCTGGTGGGTGGTCGACACCGCACTCCTCCTGTTTCCAGTGCTACTCCGCCTCTTCCAGTGCACGCACCACGTAAAAGTACACGAATTCTCGAGGTAAAGGTTTACGAATCACTAAGCTGCCGTTCAATTGCCAATCTATTTTTGATGTAATTTTATCTAGTTTTTGAATAGAAAAATGGAAAGTTCATGCTCACCATTACTTGCATTGGTTTTGAACTAGAAACCGCTGCGGGAAAGTAGTGACCTGTTTTTATTTGGAGCGATTTCTTGCCCTTGTCAAAAATACATATAGAACGTAGTGATACTAATGATGCGATCTGCTTGAGTACAGAGAAAATATAGCCGTGAGTAACTTCCAGAATCCGAAACGGGCTTTGGCTGTTTGTTGCAAAGAGTTAGTCATGATTGAGTACTTTCACCCGTTTGAGTAATGGAGGCGAAACTTACAGTTGTTACAGGGGGAACTATATTAAGTTGGTCTGTAAGTCTTGCAACAAATTACATTTGATGCTAGAGAATTTTTGTGAGAACTCTAGAAATTGCGCAACATCGTTGACGTAAATCCATTTTTGCAATATCAACGAACCGTCGAGCTCGTTGTCTTACCAATTGCTATGGATATTATACCGATTTCGCGAAAAGCTCTTCGGCCCTTAAAGGCACGAGTCAGGCTTAGTGGACCAAACCAATCCCTTTTGTCGTCTTTGTGCATGGCTACGCACCCACAGAGACGTTACCATGCTCAGAATCCCAAACGGCGCCGTAATAAGGCTCCAGGGCACGGCTATGTGATTAAAACAATGTGCTAAGAATCTTTTTCCTAGCCTTTCTGGAAGGTATGCTGCTGCAGCTAAAGAAAGCGAAAGTGCTGTACGTGGGAACAATTTCTTGTGGTCCTCTATCTGCAAAATTGTTCAATTTGACGACCAGTCCATGGATGATCTATTTCGAGAAATGACAAACAAACTTCTCCCCTCTTCGGCTGAATCCTCTGCTCCAGAAACTAGTAATATGTGAGTTATTCTTTTTTTCCTTTTAAACGTTTACTATGAAGAACTCTTGACTTTAGTGATTGCTACAAAGGTGAACCTCATCAGTCGGAGTTGCCTCAAAGAAATTCTTCTGGTGGGTGTCCGACCAACCGCACTACTCCTGTTTCCAGTGCTACTCCGCCTCTTCCAGTGCACGCACCACGTAAAAGTACACGAATTCTCGAGGTAAAGGTTTACGAATCACTAAGCTGCCGTTCAATTGCCAATCTATTTTTGATGTAATTTTATCTAGTTTTTGAATAGAAAAATGGAAAGTTCATGCTCACCATTACGCATTGGTTTTGAACTAGAACCGCTGCGGGAAATAGTGACTGTTTTTATTTGGAGCGATTTCTTGCCCTTGTCAAAAATACATATAGAACGTAGTGATACTAATGATGCGATCTGCTTGAGTACAGAGAAAATATAGCGTGAGTAAAGCTCCAACGAAGAATCCGAAACGGGCTTTGGCTGCTCGTTGCAAAGAGTTAGTCATGATTGAGTACTTTCACCCGTTTGAGTAATGGAGGCGAAACTTACAGTTGTTACAGGGGGAACTATTAGGTTGGTCCATAAGTCTTGCAACAAATTACATTTGATGCTAGAGAATTTTTGTGAGAACTCCAAAATCCGCAACATATTTGTTGACGTAGCATCCACCTTTGCAATTTCAGCCAACCGTCCAGCTCGTTGTCTCGCTACTTGTTATGGATATTACACCGATTTCGCGAAAAGCTCTTCGTGCCCTTAATTTTTACGAGTACTGCTTGGGGGTTCCGCAAGTCAGCTACACCAAGGATTAAGCCGAAGATGGGCGAGGGCACGCTCTCCCAATTCACGGTGGACTGCGTTCACTCTGCTTAAGGTTGACTTTTTCATTTGAAGATGATCCCCTGCGATTGGCAATCGCGATGCTCTACCTGACGGTGTTGAAAAGGGATCTGGATAGACGATCATTTGCCAGAGCAATTCCGATGCGACAAGGAGACAGCACTGTGGCATCTCCAAAGACTTGTAAAGATCCGAAAATGTAGAGTTTGGTCCCCACATGCCTTGAGCCCGATTCAGCTCCAAACACGATCTGACACCTTCATGTTCAAGTCGACTTACTATGGGTTAATAGTTTGACTATTCATCACATTTACCGAAGATG